TACCACAGTGTACAGGGAGGACAGACAGTTGGCTTTAATTTGGGGATTTTTACAAAAATGTTGCACAAACTTGAACACTAATTAAATGTAAATAATCATCAAAGTCTGTGCTCTATGTCTAAAGAGCAATACAAACTAGTTGTTGTAAAAAATATGTTAATTTATATTTCTAACAGTTGTTTTATTAGGGACACTGCAAAATGTAATAATTTAACTGCTTTGGTTTGAAAAAAGTCTTATTGAAGATGAAGTGGCAAAACAAAAAGGGCCTTTTACGTCACTAAGTCCATAAAGTTAGCAATGAAAACTGCATAGGCATGCAGATGCATGACACTGAACATAGGGAGACAGAGACATTAAATACATACTAGATCAGGGGTCCCCAATCCCAGTCCACGAGGGCCGGTGTCCCTGCAAGTTTTAGATGTGTCCTTGATCCATCACAGCTGATTTAAATGGATAAATTACCTTCTCAACATGTCTTGAAGTTCTCCAGAGGCCTGATAATGAACTAATCATTTGATTCAGGCGTGTTGACCCAGGGTGATATCAAAAACCTGCAGGGGGTCCGGCCCTCGTGGACTGGAATTAGGAACCCCAGTACTAGATAATCAAGGAAGAGTTGGGAAGAAAGGCTGACAACTTCAAACAAGGCATGGGGAAATGAAACCGAATACAGAACACAAAAGACAAAGGGTACCAAAATAAAATGGAAACATCACAGACTGAGACTTGACGATACATACAAGGAAGATGAAGAGCTAAACTAAAGACACCTAAAAACTAAATTATGAAGCCTGTTTTAAAATTGTCAAATAGAAAAATAAAAAAATAAAAAAATAAAGTTTTCTTTAAGTGTTTTAAGGTATTTAATGAGTTTATAGAAACCACATACTTGCGTATTTCTAATTCCATTTAATCTGTAATTTCCCTTTACAAACCAAGTCAAAGTCAACACAAGGATGAATAGGAGACAGTAGAAAATAGTAAATAACAATGAACTTACTCGTAGGGGAGGAAACATAGTTTATGTACTCAGACTCACTCTCACTTTCTGTAATCAAAAAAAAAAAAACCAGGAAAAAAAACACAACTAAGGTTAAAAAAATGCTGAAATCAGCAAACAATGAACTAAATCATTGGCTTGAGTGCTTGTTACCAACACACAAGTTTTGTCAGTTCAGAACGCTTTGCTCACCATGTTGTGCCTTAACATGTTCTGGTCAACACCCGGTATTTCAGCCAGTGGTGTTTGAGATCTTGTAAAAATTGAAGGAATTATGAACATATTAAACTAATATCAGATTTTGAATTGAATCTGATTGGAAGTGGCCTCATTTTTCAGTATAAGTTACATCTCAAACACACTGGAAATCCAGTAATGTCATACCATAATAGATGGATACTGCATTGCTCTGTTGTTGTAAAGAGAGAGCTGAGCCTGAAAGCAAAGCTCCCAATTTATCATTTGATCTATGTCCCTACCTTCACCTATAGGATGAATGATGAATGCATAGGTTGGAAATATGTTGAATTTAAATAACCCACAGAAATATGTTGGTT